GGAAGCAAACAATTTCCGTCGTAAAGTACCCACGTAGTACCCTCGTGTGACAAAATCAATATAAAAATATTAATATATGACAGATATTAATTCAATTACTTTAAATTATCAATATGGTAATAATCGGAAATCTGTCAGTCATAACGTTTATAGTGGTATTTTTATTTTTGACTAAAAATTTTTAATAAGAATCAACAGAGTAAATAACAATTACATTAAACAAATTAAACAACTACTCTTTGAAGTAAGCCATATATTAGAAATAAATATATGATTCAAATTATAAATTTTATTGAGTTGAAATGAATTGCTTTGTTTCATAATGTACATGCAGCACAAATCAATGTTAATATAAACTGTAACAAATTGTATAAGTAAATTTGACGAATATAATTCCAATTATAAATAATATAAATTTATAATGTCAATATTCATATAAATGAAATGTTACACTTTTGTTGTTGCAACAAAATTTCTAATAAAACTTGCATATCAAATAATCAGTCAGTGATCAATATTTTCTACAAACGCATTTAAATTATTGCTAAGCAACCATAAATTTCACCATAGAAGTATTTAAATTATTTTTCTTGGAGTATATTAAATGTCATTTATAGTCTCATTTTGCAGGACACGCGGTACATTTTATTCTGGATAGTGATGGATTGCCCAGCTGCTTAACTTTCATCAAAATTGCTATCAATTCTTAAGTCAAAGTTTTCCGGTTAACGCAAATTAAACTCCCCGCCGCAAGTTTTGCAGGGAGAATTGTTTCGCCCTCGATTGGTCCGAACGTTTATGAAACGGCCGGCCGATAAACGAGCGATAAATTGGAGCCCGCCCGGGCGATCATCTTTCATCATTAAGCACGTAGACCGCGCCACCGCGGCAAAGTTCCGTGGGGAATGTAAGACGATTCCCTCGCGGAAGCTTATTTCGGGGTGTCACGGACGAGAAGGTGCAAACGAACCGACTGCAATTATGCGTTTACGTGACTCCCGTCGTTCCTGATTACTCCGCGAAAATTCAGCACCCCTCCCTCCCCCAAAAAAGAAACCAGCTACGCTTCGCGAGCTCATAATCGCCCGTCAGGAAATTAATTCCACGATCGTTAAGCGGAGTAATCGATGAAGCAGATCACGTTTCGTCATTAACTCTCTTCTGATGGGCACTTCACAGAAAACGTTTACATAATGTGTTCGAAAGAATAACTTTTGTAAGTAACAAGTATCGGTCTTTACAAATTTTAACGACATAGTGAATATTAAATTTCAATAGTCATCTTGTTTAGTAAAATAATATCCAATCAAAATTTATAATTAAAATTATTCCTGTAAATAGGATTGTATTATTATTAAAATAATATACGACAAAATCTCTAATTTTAACTCAAAAAGATTATTATTATTTAATAAAATATATTAAATAATATAATATAATATAGACGATATAATAATATATATATATATATAGACGTATTTTTT